ACCATCGCCCAGTCCCCACATACAGCAACCATGGACTACCCCTTGGGAGAGCCGGTCAACGGAGGCCTCAATTTTCAGACCACTTGTCAGGCCATTTATAACAAAACCCAAGGGTCATTTTAACCAAACTTGTGATGCGCAACCTCACGCCCCCTCACGACTTCCCGTACCGGGTCGCCAATCAGAGTTATAGGAGGGGCGTGGCCGAGGATTTTGGGTCGTAGGGGTTGAGTCTCCCGGTCGGAACGGGAGGCTCTCGTTTCGAACCAGAGGTTATCCCGGGATCGATCATTCGCCACTGAGTCCCGGGGAGGTCGGGTCAGTCCAGGGTAACGAAAACCGAATAGTTCCGCAAGGACGAGCTGCCGCGGTGAATCAAAACGAAGAAGGGCAGTAAGGGGGGGGAGGCCACAATGGCTCAGGGACCGAAGGCCGGGCCGTCAGGTTTTCGTTGTATAGGTGGTTGGTTCGAGGCCTTCAAGCCTCGGCGTCAGACTCACAAAGTCCGCACGGAAGTTCCCGAGAGGGTGAAGCGGTGGGATAACTTGCTGCTACCCGAATTCGAAATTGCGCGGGCAGCGCCCCCGCATTACGGGAGAGCCCAGGGAAACGTGCCGCTCCCTCGTAACCCAGGACCAGTCGTCGCCAGGAACACGAGTCCCCCTGGCGACACCAGCGACAATCAAACTGCGGCCGCCACGTGGCGTGAGCGGCCGACCAGGGCAACACAGTCAAATCCATATAAGGTATCGACCCGCTCACACAGACCAAGGCACTGGCTCTCCAGTGGCTTGAACGACTTATTTTCAACAACGATTCCCCTTGGCAGGCGCTGGCCTTGGAACAGATTTCCAGACCGGCCCCCCAAAGTCAAAATGGCAAGGACCCGTTAATGTGGCTTGAAAAACGAAGCTGGCCCATACCTAGAACGCCACAGCAACGGGACCCCTGCCCCGTCACACCCAAACATATACTCAAGGAAGATTTGGCAAAGGACCCCTTCTCGGCCAACCTCCTCGCCACCTGGAGAAGCCTCCCCCTCCCGGACACAACCCCTCTCGAAAGATGGGAGGAGGTGGTTCGCCAACCCCTCTTTGGTAACAGGTGGATAACAGAAACGAATGGCCAAACCCTCCAGTGCATGGATTCGCCATGGCAAGGATGGGTGAAGAAAGGGGTCACAAGGATACTCGACATATGGGATGCGGAACGAAAGGAATGGATCGGTCCCGACCAGTTGCGGAAGCAGCTACGATATTGCCACCACCCCCACGAAGCGCTGGACAGATTGACGGAAATAATCCCTATAGACTGGCTAAGAATTCTACGCGGGGGGGCCTATCTTGCAGGTGGACGACTGGGCGGCATGCCCTGATACTCCAGGGGGCGTGGGCAGGGTAGCGGCTTTGCACCCGAACGGATCGGCAACGGTTAACCGCTTCCTGGTACGGAAAAGAAACTTTCTTTACAGCGATACTGACGATAAAACGTCGGTATACCCAAAAACAGATCTTTTCCGGATCAGGGTCCTCCAAGAAGACCCACAATGGATAGCGTTCAGGCCGACCATTCCAATACAACACCTGCCCCTGGACCCAATGGAATGGTCGTGGACATCCCAACGACGGAGAGGAAAGAACAACACAAAAACACTTTACGGGTTAACGGTAAAATCGACATACAGGATCCTTCGGCCGAGAACCAACCTCGTCGATCAGGTAAGCGACCAATGGCGATCCCACCTGAACATCAGCTAGGCGGAGTTAAGACCGGTAAAATGGTTTCGGTTGGCCAAGGCGAAGCCGGCCAAGATTGCGTCGATCCAGTGGCAGATAGAGCCTCGTTGCCTACCAACCAACAACTGGCTGATTGACAGAACAACGCTGGAACAACGAGGCTTGGCCCTTCCCTGGTGCAACCTGTGCGTGAATGCCTATCCGGCCCGCAAACACCCGGAAACAATAGAGCATATTTTCCTACAGTGCCCAGGTGCACCGTGGATGTGGAGGTAGTGGGACAAAATTTGGAGCCATTTAGGCACAAACTCTCCCTGACCCTGGGATTGGAAGGCGTTGCTCTCTGAAACCTGGCCTGGGAGGCTGACGGATCACCTTGATGAATTTACCACTAACATGTTCATAACGGGTAGACGAGCGGTTCTCTGGGCGCTTTGGAGACGTCGTTGCACTTACAAAATGGAAAAGGTGAGACTAGAGGGCCCAAAATTCACAGAAAGCGTGATACTGCAGATTCAAACCGAAATATTAGCCAAATGGGATACGGTTAAAGCCAATATCGGGGACCTGCCAACACTTAAAGACATCAAAAACAAAATACAAGAGTTATGTTCAAGCTGGCTGGGAGGCCCCGAGGGAGGGAGGATTGGGAGGGTGGAATGGAAAGGAGAGAGAACGAGGAACGGCGACAGTCAACAGGGGGTAATAATAGAGAGAGACTATCATTTAATCTTCAATGACTGGGCTACGCTTGGTGCAGAGATCCCCCTCAAACCCCCTGCAGCATTCCCTGATCCCTTTCCCCTCCCATCCAACTGTCTAGTCGAAGCGCAGTGGTACGACATGTAGGAAAAAGCGTGCGAAAGAAAGAGGACAGCCGAGAGAAAGGGGGGACAGTAGGATTGTCGTGAACAGCCCCGATCTGAGATGTCTTTCTTCACAGGTCACACATTATCGGAAGAAGGGAGGAACTAGCTTGCAGCAGTAGAAATCAGGCGCCGGTTTTGACGGTCAAGAGGCTCCCCCTTCCCCACCCTACCAAGGACTGCCATGAGTGCTATGAGTCCTGGGTTTTAGCTAGAGGACCTGCACAGTCAATCCCCTGTTTGGCAGGGTAATCAATGCTGGCAGGGTTTGGCACTTAGCCTTTCTGATTCTCCTCAAATGTGATTTGTACATGGGACGCTGGACCCGTTTTCCAGCAGATGTTGCTCCCCACCAACAGATGGAGCGTTCTACATGGAAAAAAAAAAAAAAAAAAAAAAAAAAAAAAAAGAGTCGGGGAAGCGAAACGATCAATTAAGACGAACCCGTCCCCCTAATATCAAACGCCCGGGGCGGGTCTCGCCAACAGACTTGCTCCGTTCAACTCAAAGCGCGCCGTACATCCGCATCGCAGTAGACGCCGTCGTCATCTGCGATGGGGAAGGACGGTAGCGAGATGGGACGATCGGAGGTAGGCGATAAACACGGGCCTGACCCCGCGCTCCCGGTCCTCCGTACCAACACCGTCTCCATGCAACACTTGATGCAACCCTTCTCTCGAGATCAGTGCGTCGGCAGAAGATGATGAAATCTAAGTTCTCTTCCGCGTCGCGGGGGCGTCGACCGCGCGCGCGGACGCCGGCGGTTGACGTCACCGGTACAGGGACGAGAAGTTCAAAAGCGATGACTACCAGTTCGAAAAGAAAGGCGAGAGAGAGAGAGAGAGAGAGTGAGTTTACACCGAGACTGCGCGTGCGCGCAGGAAGGGCAGCGGAAGGGAGAGGAACAACGGGATCAACACACTCATACTCCTAAGCAGACGGTCCTCCAGTTCTTTTCCCCCATCCCCGCCCGGATAAGTATATACACACATACATGCATGTAATCAATAACCCTTGACAGGACATCCAATCGTCCATAGACCCTTGACATCATTCATGCGCACAACAAGCTCCCATCACTCGGGGCCTCACACACACGTCATGCAGAGACAAAGCAGCAATGAAGATAAAAGCGAGTCCTTCTTGTGTACAAAAATTCTCAATTAGCTGCCGCCCTCAGGCGCAGCCTTCAAAACTTCCCAAGACCACCGACCACCATAGCCACAAGGCCCTGCCGCGGCCGGCGTCCAATCCCCACCACTGCTCAGTCCCTCCGACTGCTTCGCCCCGAGACTACCGCGGGTCCACCCTGCGTCGTCACTCCGCCCGTCCTTGGGCTCGTCGAGCCTGTTCGGCGCCGCGGACTTCACGCATAGCTCGCGCAGCATTGCAGCCGAGATCAAAGAGAGGGAGAGGAGAGGGTTGCGCGAATTTATAGCGCGGGAGGCGGCGGGTTGTCAGCGCGAGGTACGGGCAGCGCAAGGTGTAGATGAGCAGGACAGAAGAAAGGTGGGGAGTCAGAAGGTTCGACCCGCGGGGTTGCATGGTCCTACGTGATTGGGGTGTTCGTTCAAGTGGTGCGTGGTTTCCCGCTCTCCACATTGATCCGAGCATCCCAACTACGCAGCCAATCACTTCGTAGAGGAAGACGGGGTAAAGATCGCGCTGGGCGTAGGGGAAGATGAAGAGTCCCGCATGGGGAAAATGCGCGCAGCAAGAAAGGAAGATGGCGTGGGAACGAAGAGCAAGAAACAGGGGTGCGAGACGCGCGAAGAAGTCGGAGCTTAGGCGCGCGCGCGCAAAAATTCAAAAACTCCCAACTGAAACCGTTTCTTGGTTTTCATGTTGCGGCCGCTATTCGCCCGCGCGGAAGTTATTAACCCAAAAAAAAGTGAAAAAACCGTTTCAAAAGAAAACAAAAGTAAAAAGGAAAGAAAACCCCCTTTTTGTTCGCATCCGTACTTCGGGGCTTCCGGGGGATTTTTCCTCAGGGATACGGCAAGCCGCGTGGCACGGGTCTGAGCTTATCACATCTGTGATGCGCAGGGGGTTCCGAAAAATTAGCAGTCTCCCGACTGCTGATGTCATTATATTTTAGATGCTCGGACGGCCTCTTCATCGTCAGCTGGCCCGATCATCTCCTAATCTACTTCGATGCGTTTCGCATCGTCAGTCATCTCCCTTATATTATACATCCGATCGGGCGGCCTCTTCATCGTCAGCTCGCCCGATCGGTAAGTAGTCCACTGGATTTTTTTTTTTTTTTTTTTTTTTTCTGGGTCGCGTTTTTTTTAAAGTTTTTGATACAAGTGGCGTTTAGTCTCTCTCTCTTTTTTTTTTTTTTTTTTTTTTTTTTTTTTTTTTTTTTTTTTTTTTTTTTTTTTTTTTTTTTTTACAGCGCGTCTTGACGCGCGAACTTTGGGCATAGGAGAAGAAGACGATGAGGAGAAAGAGAATGAGAGAAGAAGGGAGAAGTAAACGAGGGTGATTAAAGGAAGTGATCGATGTCGGGATTGAGAGGGGGCGGAATAGGGGGAAGGAAAACGGCCATGGCCGCGGGAGTCGTCGGCGCGTCCTCCTCGTGGAAGTGGTGTTGGACAAACGAGGGATAGAGAAAGGCCCCCGGCACATGAGATAGGACACGTGGCGCCAGATCTGCGACCGCTCGCACCACCCGTTTGCGTACCGATCGGGGTCCGGGACCCGTCATCACCAGATGAGTCTCGGTGTAGGGCCGCCGCTCCCGCTTCTGTGCCGCGAAGACGAGGAAGTGGTACATCACATTGGGACGCTGCCCGGTCTCATAGATGAGCGTCCCTGCCAGTCGCGCTGTGATACACCCTTGAAAAGAGGGTGTCAGATATGGCTCCCACGCCGGATCACGGCGCGGCGCCCCCGCAATGGCCTCAAGCCTAATGGTGGTGGGCTCCACCATGAAATCCACCTCTGTCGGATGGACCGTACGACTCGACGGAACTACTAATGTCAATGACCGGGGCACTCCAGGGTGGCTGGCGGAAGCAGAAAGGTCCCGCGAGGACGGGGGATCTGGATACGGGATCCGATAATCCCATTCGGCTTCCTCCTCCGGCTGCTGCGGCTGATGGCCCGGCTCCATCGAGATTAAGATCGGGCACGCGCGGGAAGGGTGGCGATGGCACGACAGTCTCTTTGACCAGTGTCGCCGCACTCCCAGGCACAGGGTCGGGATTCCACGTGCGCATGGGCTGAACCACCTCCTCGCCACCACCGATTCGACTGCCTTGTGCTCCTGGCGACGGGTGGCGTCTCTTCCTTTTCGGCGTCTTCTTGGGGGCCTTGGGCGGCGTCGGTCTGGGATACGACGAGGGAGGTCGCAACGAATTTTCCTCCGGGAAGTCCTCCAACCTCTCCTTGCGCTGCGCAATGTAATCCGGGATGACGACCACGTTGTACGTTCTTCGCAGGGCAGCCGCCGTCTGCAATCGTGGTTGGATCTCCTCTTCCTCGCTCGCGATCACTTGTGCAATGGATAGGAGCTCAAGATGTATGAGCTCCAACAATCCCGGATCGGTCGGCTGGAGCTGGGCGAATGGGTACAACGCCACCGTCCCCTCCTTCTGCGCTGGCTTGGGCCGCGTGAAGACGTAATAGACGACGAAGTGCTCCCCGATACAGTGGTCTTCGTGATCCACGAAGAATCGGAACATCCCCAACGCCACGGACTTGTATAGCGCACGGTGCAACTCCCACGCGTCTTCGTCTGCGAAGGGCAGCGTCTCCACGTCAGTCAGCTCCACCAAATACTTTGAGAACTCGCGCATAGGATAAGGGCCCTCCGTGAGTTGATAGGGGAGAGTGGTGTAAGAGAAGAAGGGAGACATTTAGTACGGGGCAGGGGGAATAGCTTGGATGTTGAGAGGGGCAGCGGGAGGAAAAAGCGCGGGGAGCTGTGGCACCAATGCAATTGGTCCGTCCTCTGCCCTGCACAGCAGCGCTTCGTGGGCTGTGAATCGATGCCCTCCCCATCCCTGCAATCTAGCATCTGATCTGGCCGCCTGCACCGCATATTCGCGCACAAAGCTTCGCGCCAGCTCCCGACTTGGCTGCGGCAGGATCGTCAAGTCTCCGATAAAGGTGGCGATGCTATGCACGAAGTTAGGTGCCACCTGGAGCGCGCGGAACTCGATGAACACTCGAGTCGTCTCCCGCCCAGGCAACTGTGTCACGTCCACGTACACCCCCGCATCCGTCAACCGATCGCAAAGTAACGAGTACGCTGCCAGGCAACCCCGGACGCTGGCACGTTCACCTGTTGAATGTCGTATCGCAACTGCCTCTCCTCATTGAACCGATGCCGCAACAAGAGATTGGCAAGCGGCGTCTGGAAATGCTCGAGGGGCTCATGCTCCGGCAGGCGATGGTTCATCCTGCTCCCTGAAACTCTCAGCACCAAGGGACGAGGCAGATCGGGAAGAGGGAGAAGACAAAGAAGGAGAGGAGGAGAGAGAGGACGAAGGCTCGGACGGGGCAAGAGCCGATTCGTGGCCTGGAGATGGCCGAAACAGCCGAAGAGCCGCCGCATGTCGCGTAAGCGACCTGGCCTGCGTGCTATGCCGGGGGACCAGCTTCACGGAGTGCTGTCCTCATGCGCCAACTTCTGTCACTTCGTAAATGCCGGTATAGCGTGGGTGGATCTTGGAGGACCGCGCAGATTTCCGTACCTGCACCAGGTCCCCGATTTTATAACGGGGCATTGGGCCCGTTGTCGCATGTCGGTTCTCATAGTCCCGGATCTGCTGTTGATGCGTCAGATCTACGGCCCTTTGTCGTCTTCGGGCTAGCACGAGATAGGTCCGGGCCATCAGGTCCAGGTAATGCTGGGCCTTGTCCTTGTGCTGGGCCTGGGTCACTCTAACTTCCGTACCCACAAGAGGTGACAACTGCACTCTGGGGACGCTATTGGTTCTCAGTTGGAACGGGGACACCCCGGTGCTCCCGTGGGGAGTTGCCCGATAGACGACCAAAATGTGGTCGACTATGACAGGCCAAGGCCTGGTATCACCTGCCGTGATATTCCGTCTAAGTGCGGTCTTGATCATCCTGTTGGCATTCTCTACGAGCCCGTTGGCTTGAGGCCAGTGCCCTGGGGAGTATGAAATTCTAATGTCTGCCCTTACAAGATGTCGCTCTACCTCCCCCTGGAACGCGGATCCATTGTCCATATGTATCTCTTCTACGTCCAGGTGCATGCACAAAAAATGATTAATGTACCAGGCTACTTCCTGCAAGTTCCGGCTGGTCATTGGATACGCTTCGATCCATTTCGAAAAATGATCTACGGCTACAAGGAGGACATTGAGTTCTCCTTGATCAACAGGGCCTCTCGGCACGTTGATGTCCGTCGTATCGATACTGACCCGTTGGAAGGGGCGCTCTACCCGGGTAGGCACTATTGTACGGGGCATTTGTATCGGCGCCTTATCGGCCGCGCAGGCCGGGCAAGTCCGGACAATGTATTTCACATCTTCCCGGATTCCTGACCAGTACCATCCACTTTTCTCTATTGCTTTTTCCGTGTATTTGACTGCAAAGTGGACCGCATCCTCCTCGTGGGCGGCTCGTGTCCAATCGAACCTGGCCTGTGGGTGTGGAACCGTTAGCCAACTAGATCCGTCGACGTCATCATCTTTTCGTTTTTGAAGGACGGATCCCTGCCAGCGGTAATCGTGCACCCGTTCCGTGACACGTCGCCGTTCAGCCTTGGTAAGCTCCGTCAGTGGGTCGCCTGTCAGTCTCCGTAATAGTAGAAGATCCGTCCACACTTTCGCTCGTCGGACGCTTGGCAAAAATCCGTCTGCCGTCCTGACTTCTAGATACCATTTTTCCGTAGGTACGTGGTCCGTTCGACAGTTGGGACAGTTCCAACTTTTTTCATTCCGATACCGGGCACAACTCTCGTGGGACCGGACAATGTGACATTGGCTACATTGTACCCAGGGAAGAAAGCTAGGCCCTTCGAGAGGAGGATCTCCCCCTGCTGGTATCATGGGCAAGGTGCAGAAGAAACAGATTTGGGAAGGTGTGCTCGGAGGGGAGTCGGGGTCAGGAGAGGGGGTTAAGGAATAGGGAAGGGGAGGAGGGGTGGCGGCCTCCTCATGGGAGATCGCCATCTCCGATTGCTGCAGTACTCTTGCGGAGGACATTCACCTCCCCGTAGCCGGGTTCCGTCGAAGGCGAAATCGGCTTCCACGGGATGAGCTTTTCGTTCGCGGGACTCTTGTTCGGCGGTTGGAGGCGCGTTAGACCATCGGCGTTCCCGTGCTGCCTGGTGGCGCGGTGGCGGATGTCGAAGTCGTAGTCCTGCAATCTCACCGCTCACCTTCCCAAGGTACTCGTGTAGTCCGTGTTGTTCCGCAACGATAGCAATGGCTGATGATCCGTCACGAGCACGAACTTCTGGCCATACAAATACAGTCGAAAATGCTGAACCCCCCACACCACCGCCAAACACTCACCCTTGCATGCCTCGTAATTTGACTGCGCCTGACTTAGCGTTTGGGTTTAGGGTTTTAAGAATAGAGTAGGGTCTCAAAGTTTAGGGCGAAGGTAGACAGACCAACAATCCAGGCCCCAGGCCTTTTTTTTCAGTGGCGACAGAGCGACGGAGGTGTTGTAGGTAAACTTGGTAAAGGGGAAGAGGAGCAACAGCAGTCGGGCTTAGGGTCTAAAGTGATGATAGGGGAGGGAGAAGTTAGGCATAGGAAAATAGAGGTACGTTTATGGGGTAGCACGTCGGGACACTCCGCAGGGTTTTTCATTTCTTCCATGTCATTTCAGCCTTCTTATCTCTTAAGTGCAACCTGGGGGTAGGCTTGCCATTTCATTAGGCTCCTCAATGCAACCTAAGGGCAGGTAGAGAGGTTCTTTCCGAATATATTTGTCTTTTGTTAATCCAGTTTTGTTTTCGTTCAGGAATAACTTGTACTAGATTGACAGGAGAAAGGGAGTCTGGACCCGGTTTCGGGTATGAGCCTAATCTGGGTAAAAAAAAAAAAAAAAAGGCAATATATACTGTGGACAATATGGAGCGCAGATGTTAGCAGGCCATCCGAAATAAGCAAATGTTGACAGGAGAAAGGGACACTGGACCCGGTTTCCGGTATGAGCCTAATCTGGGTAAGAAAAAAAAAAAAAAAAGTTAATATATACTGTGGACAATATGGAAGCGCAGATGCCAGCAGGCCATCCAAAATAAGCAAATGCATGGAAGGGAACTCAGGGAAGCGAAGGAGACGCTCTACAATCTGGTGGAAACGGACATACGGGCTCAATGGAAGGGAATCCGTAAGCAGGCCCAGCAAAACCCACTGCAAGCCAAGGACCTAATGGAGAATTTTCAGAAAAGGGTATTGGTTCAATCAACTTCAATGTAGGATAGCAACAGCAGAAGGCTCGACGTTTAGCTTCCGTTGCTTTGAAAGGTAGATAAGTTTAAGAAGCCACAATTAGGGTTTAGGGTTTAAGTAGAAGTAATTAAAGTATAGGTAGGATAGCAACAGTGAAAGGCTCGACGTTGAGCTTCCATTGATTTGAAAGGTAGATAAGTTAAGAAGCCACAGTAGGGTTTAGGGTTTAAGTAGAAGTAATTAAAGTATAGGAATTTAGTAGTTTCGTTTCTTCTCGCATCGGGTCCCTCACGGGTCTCGTCAAAAGCATAACACTGGGTAAGGCTCCCAGGTCCGGTCTTTATGTGGGGTGTCCGGCCCCTTTTAGTTTAATAAGATGGATTGGTTTTAAAAAAAAAAAAAAAAAAAAAAAAAAGTGAAAAACTTTTTTTTTTTTTTTTTTTTTAAGACACCCCTTCCGGTGTTAGTGCTGCTGATAAAAGCATACAACACTACCACCAGGAGGGAGGCTCCATCTATTGGTGGGGAGCATCACCTGCTTGAAAGCGGGTCCAGCGTCCCTTGAACAGAAATTGAACATAGCTGAGAATAAGCAATGACAATGAGATCTGCCAGCATTGATTGCCCTGCTACCCAGGGGATTGACTGAGCAGTCCTAAATAGAATCCTCTAGATTAACCAATCAGGGCCGTGACAGATATCCCAGACCAACCCGTAGGCAGGCCCCCCGCGAAACCCACTCTCTATTTTCCGCTGTACCCTTAGCCCCTAACCCCCCCATACCATTCCATTTCAACCAGGGCAAGAGGGGGGGGTGGAAAGAAGTCTGGAAAGTCTGAGAAGGGTCTGAGTGGGATGGAGGGGTCGATTTGGGTCCAGTCTTGAAACCATAGGTGGTAGTCCCTTTCCCCAGCCTCGATATCTTCTCCCTCTTTCTCCCCACCCTTCCATATTACCTTAGCTATTCCAACCCCTTTTCCCCCGCCCAGCCAGTCTTTACGGAGTTTCTCAATAAGTTGTCCAACTTCTTTTTTTGAATGTATGTATGAAATTTGCTCTTTAAGTTTTTCCCATTGAATAAAAATGTCATTCTGTATTTGCTCCTTTATTGAGTTAATGAACTCCGTTCCATCCCGGCGCACCCCTTCCATTTCGAGTGTGCATCCACCATATAGCCCAAATCACCGCCCTGCGACTTATTTTGAACATATTTTCCTCAAAGGGAGTGGCCTGCTCCAGAGTCCATGTCTCACAGAGGAGTGCTCTCCAGTCCCATGGCCAAGGCTGCGAAGTGTCTAATTGTCTCCATATACGATCCCACCATCTCCACAGCCATTTCGTTGTCGGGCACTGTAAGAACATGTGCTCTATGGTTCTGGCCACTTTCGAGCCGGAAAAGATGTTGTACACAAC